TGAAATCGGCCCAGCCAAAAAAATCACAGAAGAGTTAATACGTGAAGATCGCCAATAATACCTCAAAGTGTAGGACTAACTAGTGTGTATGTAGGAATGTTCAGTATCTGACATTTCCTGACATGCGTCAAATTCTATCAGAAAAATTTTAAGTAGCCAGAAACTGGAGATCACAAATTAAAGCGTCAAACTCTGACTTCACATCCGTAGCGCCAGGCTTCCGTCCCTATTTTGCAGTAACCATCATTATGCAGTTATATTGTCTCATTCATCCATTCATGATTAATTCTGTAAAACATCGTCAATTCCATTGCGAGCACAGCCAACAAGGCACACCAGAACTAAATACATACTATATTTGTTCTGCTAAAAGTGATAAGTTAAAACCTGTATTTAATGTATGTAGAACCATTAAATGATTTATATTGACCATAGACACACATGCACTACTAATAAAAAGTAGACTAATGACATCATTGAAATGCTCATTAATATCACTAACAAGGGAATCCTTGCAAGGAACACAAGTCCCTTGTTTATTTTGTGTGTTAACATTTATACACTCCTATGATATTTTAAAAAACACCTAAAATTACACAAGAGATCTAGACATGCACTGTACATGCACTACTAATAAAGCAAACACGGTACATACATATACAGTTTTGAAACCACATTGTACTTCACTACCCTGTGTAGAGGAAGTAGTAGGAATAAAATGCAGAAGCAGTAATAGAAGTTAGCAAAATGCTTTGTACAAGACCATACAGTATAATGTATTCAACAACTCTTAAGTTGCAAGTCCAAAATATCGTAAAATCTGTATTAGAAGCCGAATCCCTGATAGTAGCCGCACCCTTTCTTTCTTGAACAATTGAGAACAAAAATTCATCATTTCTCACATGTACATTTTGTATAGATGCTCTAATAGAAGCCATATTCTCTATGTTGCATTGTACCATTTTTATAGGAGCTGCAGCTTCGTATACAGATTGTACAACTTAGTTTTTACAATGCTTCCTTTAGTGGGAGTGGTTTTCTGTAATGGTCCAGTACAGTAAAGCATTATAACTGACAATAACATAATCATAATACACTGTTTTGCGGTCTGTTTCAGGATCTCTAAAGGTTGTCAAGATAACAGTGAAAGAAGGCATATCCAACACATTGTATGAGAACGGTAAAGGCGAGGTGTATATAAGAAGAGATGGCAGTATACAGGGACCACTTAAAGCTCATGAAATTAAGGAATGGTGTAGAATGGTAAGATCCATCTTTGCTAGCCAGGGTCTAAGTATATTCGGCCAAGCCTCTAAACAGAGCTTGGCAGAACGACCATCAAATATGCGTATTCTAACAGCACCCCAGTAGTCAGTTGCGGCTAATCATTGTCCAATCAGTTTGTGTGTTACAAATCCCTCTTTGGCGTGTCATCTAAAACAAAATGGCGGCGCCATATCTCTGGTATCCTTGACCAATCATGTTAAAATTTTAGAAATACATCATATATCATGTCACACATATGCACCTTAATTCTGGGCCATTTTATCATTAAAATGCATCAAAATCAAGCATTTCTGTCATTCCGAACCCAGATCTTTGTTATACATTGACAGCTATTGTCCAACTTGGTACGTACATTGAACATATTTATAACAGATGAGATCAGTTTCAAAATTGCTGAATGTAAATGCTGTTCTATGTCTTTTATATTATTTAGATATACATTGACTGATCACAATCAAACTACATTATGCATCATGTCATTTGTTTTATAATCTGACTCGTTCAGTTTGGATAACCTTTGAACTAACAGGGACTATGTCATGACATAACTTGTTAATGATTTGTTACTGTTCTTTAATTCCAGACATTTAGTAAAGAGGTGGACACATTGAAGAAGCGAGAAAAGTTACTTGAAGCAGAAATTGAAAAACAGAAAGAGGTTGAAGCCCAGCTGCGAATAGATCTGTCAAAAAATCAAAAAAATTCCAAAGTCTGTGTTATTCTTTGAAAGCAGTATTTACATATATGTAACTTAACCTTTTAATTATATAGTATCGTATTTATTCTATATATTAGAAGCGCATTTAGAATAAAAATTACATTTGTTATATACTATGAGGTTATTATGAGGATACCGAAAAGTGTGCTTAAAGACAGTACAGCGGGAGTATCGATCGACCGATGCACAGCGGAGGTTGATGCGACCGCGTACTGTCTGAGTGCAGAAAATACCCAGTGCAATACCGCAAAATTACAGCATACTGTAACCCGTAGCATTACGGTGACAGATGTATAATATGAGGTTATTAGGAGGTTACCGAAAATAGTGCACGAAGACAGAACAATGGGAGTATCAACCAACGCGCAGCAGAGGTTGATGCGATGGCATACTGCCTGAGTACATTCTTTGCATTATCCTCACAGTACTGTATATTTGTTTTATCAGTAGCGCATATACTCATGTAAATTACAAGAGGTGTTTCTATGGTTACAATATGTTGTATACCTATTTATTATTATTATACATCTGTTACCATAAGTTACAGCGTATCATAATTTTGGCGTATATTACCGGGTATTTTCATCCTACCATATAAGGAAATGCGAACTCCAAATATGGAATGATACGCACATAAGCGTCCTCTAATAATAAAAACAAACATGACTGCCACCAGGGTTTGGTCAGACTTCACACAAAGAAGTTCGCTGATTCTGTTCTAAACTCTTTGGATTTCGGCATTCCCATGATGTATCCTTGGAAGAAAAAGATATAAGGTTATTACGAGGATACCTCAAGACAGTCCACTTCACATTCGGCCGATACTCCCGCTGTCTTGTCTTCGAGTACTTTGAGGTATCCTCATAATAACCTCATAGTAATATTTATATATTAATATTTACAGCACTGCCAAAATAATACTATCCTACAATATAGTTATATCAGAGCAATCTTACTGAAATGAATTGGTGATACTGTGAATATTGTTCGATATCTGAATGTGTAATTATCATTGATCAAAATATTATGTGACCATGTACACCCTTTGATTTTTGAGTTGACAAGCAAATTTTTGCGCAAGGTATCAGAAAAGTCCTATGATTTTTATTCAACTGTTTTGTCCATTCCAACTTACTTTTGATCAAGTGATATGCTGATACAAATATTGCCTTGAATGTTTCTGATTTCTGTTTTGAAGCAATTGTACTGTATTTGCTACCTAATGAAAAAATGATTGGATGATATATTGATATATAAATATGTATATTTTATATATAATGTATAGTTATATTTTGTAGTTTTGTAGATGTTATAGTGCAGTACTTTAAATAAACCACAGTGCAGTGATCCCTCACCATTTTCAACCAAGGACAAAGCAGTAATTTCATGATGTTTTAATTTTGTTGCTTGACTATAAATAATTTTGTGTACCAACTTTTTTTCCCAACATTACGATATGTTGAAGCATTTTGATTCCTAATGTTTTCTATTTAATATCACTACTTCTGGTAAATTATTGGTGAAAGGACAGAAATCATTTTTTATTTTCATGGCTAGAAATTTTAAACTGGGTCAATTAATTTTACCATATCGATAAATGGTATTTACAAATTTGGTATTTTATTAAAATTTTTCATAAAAGTTTGCCGTCATATTTTTTAAATTTCAATATTTTTAGCTGACATGCATAATGATTAGAAACATAATAAAGCAAGCCAAGTTTTGGAGAGTAACTACCAGTACCGTTAATTTGGGTTGCATACATTTATTCAATCCTAAATTGCAATTTTTTAAACCAAATATATGTGTAGTTGCACTGTGTCATACTTTCTTTAGTTGCCATGGAAATATAAATCTGTAATTTCCATCATTCAAATTCTAGCTGCCAAAGTTCTAGTTTTAACAAAATGTATAATTTACTTTACTTTATTGTGAAGTACTATCTGTGTTTATAATGTCAATAAAAATCTCATTTTATTTAATGTAACTAGGTCAGAGAATTTTTTTTTATTATATGAAAAAATCTATAATGCTACCAGAAAAGTCACCCGAAATATCACAATAGCAAAGTGTCTGGTGAATGACTATCATATTCTGTAATGTTCCTAAGGCAATAACAACTTCAGAAATACTGACATTTACAGTAATTATGCAATTTTTTGCCATCATTTTAGTTAATAGTATATTGTTTTTGGCCATGTCCAATAATTTTGTACAAAGACAAGACATGGAGAAATGTTTATGTTTTCATATATGACTTGCTGGCGGCCATTTTGTTCTCCCAATTTTTTTTTCAAAATGCCGTATATTGACGTTTTGAAAGACCTTTATATCTCCAATTCCAATCTCCACCAGAGGGCGCGATTAACATGAAATGTGTATTGTCGACCAATCTGCATTATACAAGCATGTTAATTTCAAACTGACATGTCCCATATTTGTATTTATATACCCATTTCAAACAGACGAACTGTGTAATAAAGATATGTTTTGAAAATAATTGTGAATTCATAATTCCGTTTTCTCGTTAGAGGGCGCGATATATGTCAGTGTAAGAGGCCTCCGTGGTCGCTTTATCAAGATTGATAGATGGATAAGTCTCTGTACGGACAGTTTAAAAACATGGCAACTCGACAGAAAATCGTCGTGTTTGGCAAGCTCGGGTCATACAGCGCAGCCGTGAAAAAGGTTGAGAAACACCTAAACCATGTGGTTGAGAGTCACAGAACGACCCTGGGAGAGGTGATTGTGGAACGGTGTGGCAATATCGCCGAGTACAATGTGGGTCCGCACCGAGTCGACACCGTGACGGTGTTCGTAGTCATCGACGCTAAACAAACCAGAACGGCGATTACCCCTAAGTCACGGGACCACAGCGTTGACCATTGGAACGAGCTGCACACACTGTCATCAAAGATTTGTAAACCTCAAGGTAAAGCATAATACTGTATGCAACACATTACTACGTACTAGTAACTAGTGACTTTTACGGTTACTACAAATTAATCTTGCTTCCATAAATACCGCCCACATATTCGTATCATAGTATCATCGTGCCTAATATATTGCAATATAATTCGTCAAATGTATTGAAAGAATGCACATTTCTAATCACTTTATTTAAAGATGTTTATTTGACTGTCCTTGTCCTACATTTGATGAACTCTGATAACTATGAAAAGATCAAAGTCTGTGTTTAACTAAAAAAACTATACACCCGCCTCCCATGGGCAAAACACAATGGGACATTTTATTTTTATCATTACATATCAAAGACTGGTGTACCAAGGTATCACACCCAAAATACCATTGTACGTAAGATTGGTAGTTATGAAGTTATTATAACCTACCAAAACTAAGCGAAATGTGTTTCACTTGCTCATTTCAATTTTAAACAGCCACTCAAAATGTCAATCGAGAAACAAATCCAATTCCCGCTGATTTTGTGTGTTTAACTATTATGCACACACACACACACCTTTTAGTCGTCATTGAATGCGGCTACTTCTTATATTAAAATACATAATCTTAAGATATTAATCTTAATAATTATTTTTTATCGCTCAAAATTTATTGTCACTCTCGTAGACCCATGCAGTACCCGTTTATTAACAATTTTCCTTATGATTTTTTACCAAGTTCAAGTGGACTTAAGCAAATTTCCTCATGCATCCGACTCATAATTTCTCAAACGAAAAATCTAGATTAATATCTTTCTCACTGAAATAACGTTAGACTGAATTCAACTAATCTATGAAGTAAACTATGCCAACCATTTTTTATATATTTCATGCTCAGTGTAAATTATGTCTTAATTCGCCAGGTTCATTAGTTTTGGTGATTTACGGGGATGAGTCCTGTGTATGTCATCATGATCAGTTGATATCCGACCAGTTGCTGCAAACCTGGAAGTACCATGATCCCATCGCGCTAAACATTGCGAAATCAGGAAGATGCTTTAGCGTCCTGGAAAATTTCAACAGCAAGCAAGACAAGGCGATAGTTGAGTATCTTAGTAAAACTAGTATGTATCAAGCGGTAGAACGTCGCGTGGCTACTACAGTTGGCCTATTGTCCCAGTTCAGATTTGGAGATGCGTTTTTCCAGTTTACCAGTAACCTCCTGGACGTTATGTCGCTTGGGGTAACCACTGATGGTAACATAAATGTCCTCGTCATTGGGGACAGTGGAGAGGTACGCCAGACTATACAAAGACACCAACTACTAACACCGTCCGAGGAACGCACGGAACTAGGACGCCTTGGAGCATTCACTTATGAATATTTCAACTTCCGACAAGATGGGCAGAAACGGGACAACAAGTTAAGGCTATACTTTGTCAATGAAATCGGCGCATTACAAGTATGTGAAGATGGCATCCAAGATGGACAAGGATATATGCAAAGAGTTACTGATGAGTTCACTGTTCAACTACAAGACAGCAGACCACGCGAATCCACATCAAAACTCTGGTGTCAGGCCTACCTTCCTAAATTTGACTCTGTGATGCTGGTCTGCCACTGCGAGAGATGTTTTAGGTGGTCATCTGAGCACATGAAGAACAGTATGAGTGAATGCCTTGGTAAGTTCCATTGTCACGTGGTATATGTGAAATTGTCAACAGTATCAACCTGTTTCATTAAGCTGTAATTATATGGCTAAACTGAGTACTGTAAAATTCTTTATTTTAGCTGATTTTGGCTGTTTTGTATGAAGTTTATTATCACCGATTTTCCATAAGTTGAATGTAAAATATAGGGAATATAGTATTTATTTTCACTTATTCTTTTCAGTGAAATTAAAGTACTTTACAGTAATTTGTTGATTCACATAGCTGTATATTATTCGGTCTTTAAAGGGGCTTATGTTCAGAAATTGTTTATTAATAATCAGAATTGCTTTTTGTTCGCTATTCACAACTACTTATGATACTGTTATGTAACTTAGTGATGTATTATTCTTGTTCTTACAGGCACAGTTGGTGTATACGTGAACCACGTAGTCCCCGTAGTTGGAGATAACCACGCATTCTCAGAAAGAGCAATCTCAAATACCCGGGATGTATTGATGGAGCAAGTCAGGAAGGATACGAGAGAAGATGACTGTGCTGCTAAGACCATTGCTCACATGGATGATGCGTTAATTCCAGATGCACATGTATATTATTCATGTCTAAGATCTCACA